GCCATATTTTGGTGTGATGGAGCCCTTCAACAAAAATGTTGATTAAAAAAAGGAATAAAGAGTGATTTTTATGTGTTGACCTATGTGTGATGTTTATAGATCTACTTACCACATGGTTCAGTTTTTTTAATTAAGTGTATTCTTTTGACTGTAGTGGACGTGAAGCTGGACCCGACTTCTGCACACTCAAGTCTTGTAATTTCTGATAATGGTAAAGAAGTGAGAAAAGGTGGAAAAACAGCAAAAGATCCTAATTCTCCCCAGAGGTCTGGTATATTTGGAAGTGTCCTGGGGCTCAACAGGCTGACATCAGGGAAATCATACTGGGAGGTGGAAGTCAGCAACAAGACCGGGTGGGATCTGGGTGTGGCCAGATGTGATGCTTACCGCAAGGGGAAATTTTTAGTGACCCCTGACAAAGGTTACTGGGTTATTGTCTTTTATGGAGACAAAAAATATGCAACCCGGACAATACCGCCCGTGTACCTTCCATTTAAAGGGAAACCTCGGAAAGTCGGGGTGTATGTAGATTATGAAGAAGGTCTCGTGTCCTTTTATGATGTGATGTCTCAGTCTCACATCTACTCATTTACTGAGTGTTCGTTTGGTGGTGAGATCCTCCCGTACTTCAGTCTCCATCTGAAACCAGATGAGAAAAACAGCGATCCTTTGATTATATCTGCTATGGAAAAGCAGTAGTAATCACATGCACTGGTTTTGGAGCAGTGAATGCATCAGTTATAGGCATTATATATATTAAAGTGGGAATTTGATTGCCTGGGTTTCCATATTCTTTTCTTATAATGACAACATGAATCAATGAAGGTTCAATAAAGGCATGGTTTTAGAGTTTTCTTTTATGCACTATATAGCAATGCTAGCAATGCAAATGTATACATATTATGGGGATGCACTCTAAATACTGTTAATTATGATTATGTGCAAAGGGATGATTTAATAAGGATTCTTCTCTTGTTATTGGTTGTGTTCACATAAACCAGAGTTTCCCAACCCTTTGGAACCACAGCACATATTTCACATTAGAAAAATCACAAAATCCACCACTATTGACACCCTACCATATCTAGGTGTGTGTCAACATGTTCAGGTTGGCACGTTAAGCATGTTGTTTCCAGAGCTGCACCTTTCAACCAAATCCCGTATATTTTACTTGTGAGCAATTTGTTATTTCAGCCTTATATTTGTGTGTTCAGGTCAATCAAATGTTCAAATATATCTGCCAGATACAGCAGTCTTGTACACCACTGGTCCCTTGAGAGTAACTTGACGTCCTTCTGATTTGTGAAAAACACTTTAAGTTCTTGATTCTTGCAGTCTTGGCAACAAGTACTTCCGGGTGCAGAATATAATGCATTGTAATGACATCTAGATGTTGCTCTTTCACTCCGTTTACAAATCCTTTAGTGTGCCCGAGCATGGCAGCTGCTCCATCGGTGCAAACATGTATGCATTTTTGCAATTCAGCAACTTGTTAGCTTTAAGTGCTTTATTGCTCTTATTGGTGGTTTTCCTCATTAAAGCTGCCTGCGTCTCAGTCTGTACACGCTTGAAGTGATGGGTGTTTTGTCTGGAGATGGTGTTTAAGTTTGCTTGGAACCAGGCGTAGCAGAATGGGCTCAGTTGGTTCTCCAGTGTATGAGAATCCAAAGGCAAGATAATGTTAACTGTATTGTCATGATTTTACTTTTTCTTTTGCTTTCTTCCACTATTATTGCTAGGGCCATCTGGGTTGGAATTCTCTCTAGGACCCAGGCCAGATTGATGCTTTTTGTTTTCAGTTATTTAGTAATCGCTATTCCCTGCAGTGTTGTCATATTCGCAGCTCGACTTTGTACTTTTGTATTTCTTCTTCATCTTCATCTTGCTGGTGGTAAGGGCAGTACAATTAAGTGGATCTGGTGGATGAGAATGTGTTGTGTCCTGTAATGATCGTACCATATTGCACCACTAGAGGGTGGTGTCATGAAATAAGAGTAAAGTGGAGTTGGTAAAGTTTTAGAGTTAGAGTATAGTTAGACGGCTAACTGTTAACTTGTTGTGTCTTCCTGTTACCTCTACGATGTAAAGTCTGTGCTGAATTCATTAAAGAGCACTGTTCCTTTATGAGGACTGGTTTATTACCGGCCGCTACTACAGAATGTAATTGTTCTGCCTGTCACAACACGCCACTTGCTAAGAGTACCAATCAGGTGAAATTGGATAATCTTCCACGGCACACTTGATGATTTCTAATGGCATACTTATATTCCGTGTTTGGGAAAAGCTGATTTTAACCACTACCTCAAGCATTTAGTCTACAAGATGCTTATTTCTACAGACCCTCCTTGTTACTCCACACATCTGTTAAACAATTTGTCTAACTGGGCAGTTTAGATACTGTAAACTGTAGTCTACATGAGTCACTTTAAATAATCCATTTACAGCATATAAGCAATATGTTTTACACAGATATACACAAGAAACAAACAAACTTCTATCTAGGGAATATTTTTTAATATTTTAACTGTGTTTGTAATGATAAAAGAATGAAATATGTTTAAGATTTTAGTTTTATTTATTTTGTAATTTGAATAAATCCAAACCTTAATGAAACCAGCTGTATATTGTCTTCTTTACTCTTCCTTCAGCCCTAGGAGTGCAGGGATTTTTAAGTGCAATAAAAGTTAATAAGCTACAGCACACTGTGGTTTAGCTATGTCTGAATTCAAAAGGCTTTAAAGGCCACCTGATTTTTCAGATTTTTTTTTTGAGCTTGACTCTTTCTTAGAATAACAGTGAGGAACCCTACAATCTGTTTCATTTCTTCATTTCACCCATGCAAGCAAAGTTTAGAAAACACTTCCTGTGAAAGTGAATTGGCCAGACACTTTTTAGCACTCACTAATGTTAAGAGAAAATTTTAGACTAGTAACATTAATGCTATATTTTTCTGTGAAGCTCTGCCTTACAGTGACATTAGCTCCACATTCTTAGTCACTGTAGTGCTGTGAGACCAATACAGAAGGTGCTGCTGAGCTCTGTGTTATTATAATCATTTTGCCTCAGATGTGTGCAACATCAGCATCCACTATATTGAAATTAAAATAAAAAGTTTTAGCAGGTCTGCTGTGTGTCCTGCTCATGCCTGGGTAACTGACCCCTCCAAACTCTCCTCTTTCAGCATGGCAGTTGAGCGCTCCTCTTACACATTTTCAAAGCAGAGATTGGGTTAATGACAGGGCCAGTATGATTAAAAAAGCTGACCTAAACCACATAAATCATGAAGCATTACAGTTGTTGGCACCTCAGATTTAGAGATCAGAATCCACAGTTATACTTTTTATACCAGCAGGAAGAAACTGATGTTTCAGTCGGTGGCTTTCCTCAGTGTTTCGGAGACATTTGTGATTTGACCACAGAATCAATAGATCACAAGGTTTGTTTGTTTGTTTTAACTACACCTCAGAGTGCACCGTATGCTTAGTGTTAGAAGTGGTTATGTAAGCATATCTTACATTATCAGCAAAGACTCATTACATTAATAATTATTATAAAAACTGTTATTAGTGAAGGATATGCCTGAAGGGAAACTTTGAAGTATCTCCTTAAAAATGGCAAGACAACCAGAAAACCACCAGTAACAAGAGGTGGATTTGCATTTGGAGCCTTTAGGTCATTTCTATTTACACTAGTAGTTTTTATTTAATGACCAGTGAGTGAAAGGACACTAAGATAGAGTCTTAACTCAAGGTGAGCTTTGAATGTTGACTGGAAATCCAAAAATCTGAAGACATCACAAAAGTCCACAAGAGCAACGGGAGCAGAGTGTAGACATAATATAATTGTATTGTATAAATGTAATATATTTAAACGTAAAGGCGAGGCATTTGCACACACCGAGACTAATGAGAGGAAGTGGAGGCAGCTGGTTGAGAGGCAACAGGTGGCAAAGCGAGACAAAGGAAGCAAAACTAAGGACTACCAAAATAACACAAAAAGTGACTAAGCAAAGAGACAAAGCATATAACATGCAAACATGTGCAAACTCAGTTGGAAAGAGAATACAGTCATGTGTCAGAATATAAAAGAGACCAAGAATAACTTTTGCAGGTGTTAGGCAAGAAGATGAAGCAACACCAACAAAGAAGAAGAGAGAGAGTGAGAGAATAAGATGAGGTTTAGATGTAATTTCCCTTTCCCAAATAAATATTGTTTCATTTTTTTGTATCTGAGCACACATTTACTTTGTAGTCTTACACTTACACCTACACTTCAGGTGAAAATACTGAGTTTTACTATAGAACGATTTGTGTTGCACTTACATGTAGTACTGCAAATGCTATGCAGGTAAACAACTCTACACTAAACGGAGAAATGGGATATTTGCACACACTGGAATTTGTGACATGGAATCAGTTTTGAGATGAGAAAATGAGATTTTGAGTGTTGTTGAGTGTTTTTTGTGCTTTTTTTGATAAAGTGGTTTACTCTTTTCAGTTGTGTTTTGTAGAGTTTTGAAAAACTGAACCACAGTTTCTTGAAATGTGTTTACATATTTCGTGTAAAAGGGACCAGCCAGCTGATTTGTCATTTAATGCTTGTAAATGTTTATAGTCCTCAGAAAGTTTGGATTATTTTTTACACTCTTTTTGTGCATTTTTTAATAAAGATAAACATGAATTATTATTATTATTAGTTAGTTTGGTTAAATATGTCAGCACTGGTATGTCTACAATACTATTAGTTAGTCTCCTCGAGGTCTGGTGCAGTAGTAATCTGAGAAAAATCAAACAGGTTCGGGTTCATTTATTCATAACCTGAAATCACTCCATCTTCACTGCACTTCTTTTTGATGATGCACTTTTTTATGCTTCCTTTTTCTTTGCCTTTGACTGTTTTGATTCCTGTTATTTGGAGAAAGATGATTGGTTATAACTAAAAGATAAAAAGAGGAAGCAAGTAAAGGATGTTGCAGTGCTTCTAACCCACCAGAGCACCAGGTGATATCAGTCCTCCACAGCAACAAGGAAAGGTAAGATGACTTTTCTGTCTCCTGGCTCGTATTTTCCTATACAGTTAATGATATTGAAATTTCATTTATCAGATGAAATTGTGTAATTTTGCAATCTTGTGTACTCACGTTTTTTCTTGATATAAGAGTCGTATTGAGATGTTAAAGGAATAACACAGATTAGTGGCACTCTGCACATGATCCTACTCTACAGTAATATAAGAGTTACCAAACACTAATGTACAATATTGCAATGTGATGTTAAAACGTATATGATATGTTGATTTTGTTTCTGGATGCTGGTTTTTTTTATTTTTATTTGAATGCACAGCATATTCATTATTTTAAATGATTTGTTGAGTGTTTCCTTTTTAAAATATGTTAGCTAATCAGTATTGCCTTCTCTGTCTGTGTAGGTTCGGAGTCATCCAGGTCAGTGCAGCGGAAGTACCTTCAATTAAAGGCAACTGGACTTCTTTAAGTTTCTTGAAGTCAAAGTCAAATGTATTTATAAAGCACATATATTAAAAAAACAACTGTTTACAGGTGCAATAAATTTAAAATAATCAAAAAAGTTGAAAGCATAGTTAAACTAGTGATATCATAGCAGAAAATAATTGTAATATTAAATAAAATGCAAATATTAAGTCATGTTAAAAATAAAAACTATACTGTATTTTTTCAGATTTATTTTACAGTGCATTTTGGGACAAACTTGTAACTGAAGAAGCCTCTGAGGGTGACATATCTTCCAAGTCCAAGTCCCGTTGCTTTCTTTTCAACCTCATGAGATTGTCGCCTTCTCTCCTTTTAACTGCAGATAAAATGAGATTCATTGTCTTGATCACCATCATCGTCACTGTAGCCCTTATTGATGGGGGCAGCAGCATGACCGCGGGGCCTTCATCACCGTGTCAGGACAAAAGTCCAAAAAGTCATTATGAAGAATTTGTAAGCAGACACATCCTTCAAGAGGAATTTGACAGAAATTCCCTAGATGCTTGGAAAAGGTAAATTAAAAGTAAATAATTCAAAAATGGTTAGTTTTATTGTGTGCAATAGGAAACAACCTTTAAAGTAAAAGCTTACAGGCTTCAGAGGGTTACGTGCTGCTACACCACATGGTGCTGCTTTATCAGCATCTTCATGTGATGTCATTAAACTCAGCATTTTATGTGTGGAATTATTTTACAAATAAGAGAACAGATAATAATATTATTATTATATTATTATCTCTATGTACTGAAATATTGATCTATTAATGCAGGTATTTGAAAAAAGAACACCTCTGGTGCAGAACTACAGTGCAATCGTTCCTCAATAAAAGTGATCTGGAGACCGTGAACAGAATCTGCAGCAAAGACGGGCGACGCTTAAGCAAGACGGATAACTATGCAGGGAACTTGTGCATCAGCAACTCAGAAATGCTGATATATGACATCGCATCCAGGAAAAGGAACAAGGATTGTAAAATTAAAATTGGTGCAAAGAAAAGGGTTGTGATTGTGGCATGCGACAAGGTTGGAAACCAATGTCTCCCTGTTCATTTTCAGAAATATGAACACCAGAGAGCAAGCAATATACCCTGCAGTCCTGCAAGGAATTTCGGTATTGTGGTAGAATAGCTTTCCACTGATTAATTTCTAAATTCAGCAACTTTGCATCGTGTTAGTGCTTTAACCCTTTTTTTACCAAGTAGTAACTTATTTGGTAATTTTGTCTGTAAAGGGGTCTTAAATCATACTATATGTGAATGCTTTTGCCATTCTTTTTTTTCAGAATAACCTCAACTTTCAATATCTAGCAGTCATTCTACATCACTGTATTGTTATGGCAATGCAACAACAGTTTACGTGGGGAAAAAATAAATTAAAAAAGGATCAGATTTCAAGTTAAGTGATATTCAACACGAACAAAATGTAACACAACATCAAGTTTAAATATGAACTGTACTAAATATAATGTATAAAAAAGTGTTTACACCTAGATCACTTCTCTCAAGCTCAAAGAGTTGATGAGTTACAGTAGTACAAAGCTCACGTGGTAAATTCTAGGCAGAGTTGAGTTTTCTTTCTGTGTTCAGATAGCATTAGCTTTAGCATCAGCTTTTCTTTTTTTGAAACCATTCACATTTTTTCCATAGCATAAACGATGACACAGTTACAGTCATTTAAATAGGGCTTGGAAAATGGGCCTGTCAGCTGGCTAATGGTGAATAAAGGGTTATTGAATTTTTCTTTAGTTTTCTTTTGATACATTATTGAAAAAAGAATCATAGAGAGTTTGAAAACAAATGCAGCATCCAAATTTCTAGTATTTAATCTGTGTAAGAAACATCTGTTTAATGAGTACTTCTAACTAGCTGTATAATATTTGGATTTTAGAACTACTTAGTTTGTAGTTGTGTTTTTGATAGTAAGACCACTCCCACTTGTATCATTCAAAATAAAAACTGATGTTTTTTTTATTTGTATCCACAAAAACAGAATGGTGTAACCTTGTTCCTGTTTATTAGATAAAGTAGTGTAGCACAGCAACACAGTCTTGATTTTGGTTTGCTTAATTAAACTTAATTTACATCCATATTTGTTTATAATCACAAAACTCTACTTTAGTGGCAATAAGTACTTGAAAAAAAACATAGTTACAATCTTCTCTTGTATGTTTAAGTCATAAAAGTTATAAAGTGTTTTATGTTATTGGGCATTTGGGTGGACTACTTCATGGTAAGCAAAAGACCAGCTGATGTCTGCTGTGCTTCCTATTTTTCTGCATTATGCTTCAGCCACAGTGACCCAGATTTTAAATGTCACACACATATAGTACACATATAGTACAAGAGTGTACTTCTTCAAATACACAAATAACACTTGGGATGTTGGCCGCAGTCAACTTGTGTTAGGAAATGGTCATATGTTTCCCTTCACACTAATTTACTGGTAATGAATGACTAAGAAAGTTGTTTTGTTTTGTTTTTTGTTGCCCTCTCGAGGCTGTTACTGTTACTGTACTGAAAACTCCCTGAAAAACCTTCAATCCCCTCCTGAGTTGCCTGGTGGTTTGCCAGAATCTCTTCGAGGCAGAATCTCTTTGAGGCTGGGTACTCTGAACTGCCACTAAGCGCATAAGCACAGACGACGGTCAGGACCCGCTCCCCGATCCGGAGAAACCCTAACATACAGGCAGCAAGCCAAGGGGATACCAGAATACCCAGCCCGCCGCCTCAACTCCAGACTGAGACAGAGTCCAGCCCCTCTCCAGGAGACTGTTTCAAGAGCCCAAGGCGTGCGTTGAGGTGAGCCTGACTATATCAAGCCGGTACCTTTCACCTCAACCTCACGCATTAACTCAGGCTCCTTCCCCACCAGAGAGGTGACATTCCATGTCACAATTGCCAGTCTTGGTAGCTGGGGATTGGTCTGCCAGGACCTCCGCACCTGGCCGCCGCCCAGCTCCCAATGCACCGGACCCCTAAGGTGCCTCCTCCGGGTGGTGGGCTTGCAGGAAGATGGCCCCATGTCCCTATTTCAGGCTGTGCCCAGCTGGGCCCCATGGACTAAGGCCCGTCCACCAGACGCTCGCTCTCGGGCACCCTCCCTGGGCCTGGCTCCAGGACGGAGCCCTGGTAACCCTATCCCAGGCAAAAGCCCCCAGACAACATTGCTTCTAGGATCCCTGGGACATACAGTGGACAGCAAAAGTATTCGGCCCCCTTGAACTTTTCCACATTTTGTCACATTACAGCCACAAACATGAATCAATTTTATTGGAATTCCACTTGAAAGACCAATACAAAGTGGTGTACACGTGAGAAGTGGAACGAAAATCATACATGATTCCAAATATTTTTTACAAATAAATAACTGCAAAGTGGGGTGTGCGTAGTTATTCAGCCCCCTGAGTCAATACTTTGTAGAACCACCTTTTGCTGCAATTACAGCTGCCAGTCTTTTAGGGTATGTCTCTATCAGCTTTGCACATCTACAGACTGAAATCCTTTCCCATTCTTCTTTGCAAAACAGCTCCAGCTCAGTCAGATTAGATGGACAGCGTTTGTGAACAGCAGTTGTCAGATCTTGCCACAGATTCTCGATTGGATTTAGATCTGGGCCAGTCTAACACATGGATATGTTTTGTTTTAAACCATCCCATTGTTGCCCTGGCTTTATGTTTAGGGTCGTTGTGCTGCTGGAAGGTGAACCTCCGCCCCAGTCTCAAGTCTTTTGCAGACTCCAAGAGGTTTCCTTCCAAGATTGCCCTGTATTTGGCTCCATCCATCTTCCCATCAACTCTGACCAGCTTCCTGTCCCTGCTGAAGAGAAGCACCCCCAGAGCATGATGCTGCCACCACCATGTTTGACAGAGGGGATGGTGTGTTCAGAGTGATGTGCAGTGTTAGTTTTCCGCCACACATAGCGTTTTGCATTTTGGCCAAAAAGTTCCATTTTGGTCTCATCTGACCAGAGCACCTTCTTCCACATGTTTGCTGTGTCCCCCACGTGGCTTGTGGCAAACTGCAAACAGGACTTCTTATGGTGTTCTGTTAGCAATGGCTTTCTTCTTGCCACTCTTCCATAAAGGCCAACTTTGTGCAGTGCACGACTAATAGTTGTCCTATGGACAGATTCCCCCACCTGAGCTGTAGATCTCTGCAGCTTGTCCAGAGTCACCATGGGCCTCTTGGCTGCATTTCTGATCAGCGCTCTCCTTGTTCGGCCTGTGAGTTTAGGTGGACGGCCTTGTCTTGGTAGGTTTACAGTTGTGCCATACACAGTTAGGTTTTTTTTTTTTTTTTTTTTTTTTTTTGTTAACCCTTTAAGACCTACCATAGAACCAAGTCCACCAGAGCTTATATTATATTTTTACCTGCTGTGGTGCCATTTTTGGGAGCATTTCAAGTTGCTATACATCAATACAACCATTATAGCCCAAATTTTAATAATATGTATTCATTAAGTGCATAGTAATTACATAAATTGCAAAAAAAGTGCAATAAACTACAAAAAAATTGAAAATCGTTTTTGCTTTTTTAACATATATTTGTAGTTAGAGAAATTTAAGAGGCTTATCCCTCAAACCTGTAAATACAAAAAAGTTACACAAAATAGTTTCCCACCACAGGAAATTTATTTTAAGTGTCTTCATAGTTTTATTTTTGAAATACACCAATTTTTATACACTGCAGGAAAAACGAAAATAAATATTATACTGCAAATTTGCAAAAAAGCAGCATATGCATCAAAATAAACTATTTCCAGCAGTGCAATATGAGTCCTAAGCATCCCAGAAACGACACAGAAAGTCATAAAGTCAAAGATAACTTTTAAAAAGACGAGTATAGGCCCTGAGGCCCTGATAGTAAAAAAAGACTACATTTCCGCGAAAATGACGTCACTTCCGGTTTCGGGCAGGTAATGGCGGAAATGCAAAAGTTCGCGCTGACGTCTATTCTAACATAGGAAGTGTTATGAACAGCTGATCAGATCGGTAAAGCGTGTTTCTGGAATATTATGTTTTTGTTCCTGCAAGCGCTTTTTATGCAGTTTTTGCAAAGCTTTATGTGGAAGGAAACCGTGACCTAGGACAAGCTGATGGCATAAGATGTAAGTACAACTCCTCCGGTTTCATATGCAAAAAAAATTTTTGCGCTAGCTTACGTGGTTGCAGTGCTACCGGGATTTAAAAATAGTTACGCAAAACAGAGCGTGCCCGCTCCGATCGGCTGTAAAGGGTTAATTTATGTTGTCATTTATGTTAGGTCAGTCTGTCTTGTCTCTGCTAGCCAGCTAACTAGGCCTCTTAGTTAGCTAGTTTAGTGTTTTCTGTTAATTTATGTTGTAAATTTATGTTGCATGTAGCACCTTGGTTCCTGGAGGAACGTTGTTTCGCCTCACTGTGTATTGTTAAACTGTATATGGTTGAAGTGACAATAAAGCCAACTTGACTTGACTTGACTTGACTACTCCTTCCATTTCTGAATGACCGCTTGAACAGTGCTCCATGAGATGTTCAAGGCTTGGGAAATCTTTTTGTAGCCTAAGCCTGCTTTACATTTCTCAATAACTTTATCCCTGACCTGTCTGGTGTGTTCTTTGGAGTTCATGGTGTTGTTGCTCCCAATATTCGTTTAGACAACCTCTGAGGCCGTCACAGAGCAGCTGTATTTGTCCTGATATTAGATTACACACAGGTGCACTCTGTTTAGTCATTAGCACTCATCAGGCAATATCTATGGGCAACTGACTGCACTCAGACCAAAAGGGCCTGAATACTTACGCACACCCCACTTTGCAGTTATTTATTTGTAAAAAATGTTTGGAATCATGTATGATTTTCGTTCCACTTCTCACGTGTACACCACTTTGTATTTGTCTTTCACGTGGAATTCCAATAAATTGATTCATGTTTGTGGCTGTAATGTGACAAAATGTGGGAAAGTTCAAGGGGGCCGAATACTTTTGCAAACCATTGTACAAACCCCTCCACCAAGATAACATATTGATTTGTGAAGAGGTTTTGTTATGTCTGAAAAATTGTTCCAAAATGAAAGTTGTCCCAAGCATGGGATGTGACCTCGATGTCAGCTTGATA